TTTTTCAAAGATTGAGTACTCAAAGCATCAGTGCATGAGTTTATGCAGTGAAATGGTTTGTGAATCGGTATTATATAACCTTGTACGAGTATAGCCACACCATATTGCTCTTATTTCTAATGATTATTTTATAACAAAAATCTACAATCGTCATAACAGCAAAAATGGTGCTGATAAATATAGCATTGCATTAGAGCAAGCTATGGATGTATACAACAACAACAACAATAGCAATACATACCATATATACACAGAATAAAAACAATGATGATGAGCGAAAACGACAAGAACAACTATTGTGCTCCATTAACAACGTCTTGACATTCCTACACTGGGGGGAATTCCATCTACGCGCAATAATGGCAAATGACGCTAAAAAGAGGCGGCATGAAATATTTCAAAGTGCACGACCGCTACAGTCGGTTATAAGAGATTTTAGAGACGATATAGCGGTCATATATTAATGTAGGCAAGCTAAAACTAATGAATACTGAGGAAAAATGGCAACTCTACCATATATGTAGCTAAAGTCAAAGTATATCTGTTAAAATTTATGTATCCAATATCTGTACTGTGAGTGCTTAATTAGTAATCAAGCACTAAAGCGTAACTTGTGGTCTTTTTTTTACCGAGAATCCTGTTATTTAGTTTTATATTATACGAGTGCTTTCACGGGAAACTCAAAACTTTATCTAGAAAGGCTTAAAAAGTATTGTTTTGTTACATACAAATTAGACATTTTTAAGAGATCTCTAGTACCTCCTGGGGTCCAATGCTTTCATATGAAAGAATTTGATAGAAAGAAAGCGTTCGATATTTCCTTTTGCAGGCAAAATAGCTTATTTTCCTCTTCTAAGAGAGTACTTTAGTATATGGTAGTGGTCCGAGTTTCGAGCAATTTTTGGCAATTGTTAAAAAAGTAATTGAAAACGTGAAAAAACGCATTTAAAGTGCATAACAGTGAAAGTAGTTTGAATTTTAAAAAATCAATTTTGGAAATTATTCTTGAATATCTAAACTACTGAAATATATAACCATTAGATTTTTTTCAAATGTCTAGACTAAAATTTAATTTGAATTCAAATGTATACGGCTGTTCGATTTATTAATTGTCAGCTCGTAAGAAATTTAAATTTTTGATCCACAAAATAGCAATCGCCAAGATCTAATGGTAACGCCGCTTGAACAATTACAATACAAATTTTATAGGATAGATGTTTTCTTTGTAGTTTAATTTAATTTTTTAACTGTTCATTTTGTATTTTCTACATAAAATACCTTCAAATATTTGTGTAGCGCTCGGTACACTCGGTCGGGAAAATAATGAAATGAATGAACAGAGAATTTCAATTCCAAGAAATTATTCATCGAGTAACGTACCATATTGCTGAGGAGCAGGCAATGGTAAGCTTGTTGTTGCTGACGCACAAGCAACAACATTTCTTCTTTTTGGTCATTGTTCTTCGGCGAATGGTCCATGTTCGCACAGTTGTTGGCGTTATCAATTACAACAATGCGTTGTTGTTGTATGCCACAGCAGCAAATTGTATGGCATTGATAGCAACCAAAGCGGAATGCTAACGCCTTTTCCAGCTTACAAACACACACACATAGCTGCGGCATATGCACCAGCACTGGCACCGCTTTTAACTCACTTGGTTAGACCTGATTTACGGCCGCCGCCGTCTTTTGCACCCACAACTTGTAATATCATATATGCACTCCAGCTAGGTAGTGGTATCTCGGAAAACTCTTGTCAATAGCAAGAAGACATTATTCATCAGATGGCAGCCATCAAAGTATTCAAAATGTTCACTTCCGTCGTATTCGCAATTGTCGATTTGCAGTCATTAACGAGCAAAAAGTGTAACTGCGAAGTAAGCCCGTGTGTGTGTGAAGACTCTAGGGAGTCGGGTTGGAAACTTGCACGAATGTCGTTGGCTTGCCGTTGGTATTGTTGGTAGTTTGCGGTTGCAATGTTCGTCATTTAAAGATTCCTATCGAATATTTATGCCTCCACATACGAGTGTATGTAACGGTTCATGTGACACGAAAGCAGTTTTCCGCCTTAGGTTCGCTGGTCGTGTCATTTTCCATTATCATTATCTTTTTAATTTCGAATACAAAACAATTGTAGGAATACAAATGAATTGCTAACTGATTTTTAATTACATTTTAAAATTAATCGATGACCCCCGATCTTAGGAGAAGGAGACGCGTATGCTTTTGTGGTGGAATATTACAGCAGTTTTATCAACCTCACCTCAAATTTTATGTGAGCGTGATCAAATGCTGTGAAATGTTCACTAGGGAATTCGAGTTTTGTGATAAGTATTAATGAGGACGTGAGCAAAATTTCAGAACGATATCTCAAAAACTGGGAGGCTTGTTCGCGTATACACAGAGAGATAAGCAGACAAACGGACGGGCATGGCAAAATCGACTCAGCTCGCCAGCCCCTTCTGGGTGTAATGGAATTTGTGACAAACTTAATATACCCTGCACTTAGCTTTGGGATACTCTTGAACCAGATATAACCTTTCACCACCACTCAGTTAATGATACATCTCTGTTAGTGGCGTTGCCTGTTCTTCTGGTTGTACAGTGAATGAACTTGTAAAACATTGTATCTTTCTCTCGTTCTCATTCTCGAATTGTCATCGTTTGTATTTAAGGCCTTTTTAGCTGAATTTCATGACGGTTATTCCAGTATACGTAGCGCTGAAAATCTACCACAATAGTAGTCAGCAGACGTGAAATTACGAATAATTTCATCGCCGAGGCATTTTTTACTTGCTTTTATAGAGCTCATACGCTATTGAGCCAAAAATTATGCAAAATAAATATGAAAAGGGTTATATATTTTTTTACTCTAGAAATCGAAAAATGGGTAACATACATTTCCGCACGCTGGTTATTAGCATTTTCAGCGATATACTTTTAATAAATCTCCAAAATATTTATTAATATTTAAGCTGCTTTAGTTTCTCTTTAAATCTAAATTCCTCATATTTTTTTAACAATAAAAAAAAAATAAAACGGAATTCAAATTAATTTAAACTTTAAATTAGCAATTATTTCAGTAATATGTGCATGCTGCCCCTTAGCCATAACTAGTCGGGCTTCCCATTAAATTTATACCCGCAGTGGAATAATTTTATGCCGAATGTTAATAATATGCTTCCATGTTGCATTTCATAAATGTGAATATATATGCGTGTAATTATTTACACAGATATATTACATTTTCTAAGCAGCAATGCAATGCTTCCAAGCGCATATTTGTTCTGCACAAATTCTCACCGTTGTATTTGTGTGTGTGCACTTGTTGTTGAATAATTTCGGTTGTTGGTGCAGTTATGTTGGAAATACTTTGAGTTTGGTTTCAAATGAAATGACTACGTTGAATTCGTGGAAGCATATCATTTGCATTAGGCTGAGTCAAAAAAGTTTTTTTTTTTTTGCTTGGTACTCTGAAAAATCGGCTGAAAGACACCTCTAAGGAAGTATCTCTAAGTATGAGCTTTTAATTATAACTGGAAGGTCCTCCGCATAACAGTTTTCTATTGTTTTCTTAATATCAGATAAAAAAATTCATATCTCGCTTCCAATAACCTGAATAGTGGATTTTGTAGGAAATTGAATGGTCTTCAAAAAGGGTTTTTTTACGATTTTCTTGTAGACCTAACCGTTTAAAAGATATTAACAGTTGAAGTTTGACTATTTTAGAGTAAACTTTTTGTTTTCTTTTATATTTTATAACTCAGTGAAAACAAATTATTTGAAATTGCAAAGCTCATAATCATGTATAAAATTCACAGCTCTACGAAAATGGTCTATTTTTTATCTTTTTATATTGTTGATAGGCATTGATGTTTGACGATGAATATCTCGTCGACACTTATATCATGTTATCACCAAAACATGTAAGAGATAAGATTTATAAAAACGCTGCTTTTGACTAGGCGGTCGAAGGTTCACTAAACATTACTCTCTTTTTTTATACTCTTGCAACATGTTGCTACAGTGTTTGTATCACCTAAAAATAATCGAGTAAGATATAGAGTCCGTCCGTCTGTGCAAGCGATAAGAATAAAACTAAGATATCTTAATGAAACTTTGTACATGTGTTCCCTGAGAACGTAGTAGTAGTCGAAAATGGATAAAATCGTTTTATAACCCCGCTCTCTCCCCATATAACGGCTTTGTTAAAAACTACATGCGCTAAGGACATTTAATTCTACATTTAGGATGATACATGAGGGCTTTATAGAGGTCTAAAATTTGTCAAAATCGATGCCTAACTCTTCAAGCCCCCACATACCGAATATGCGGACGCCTGTGCATTCCCGAAAGCATCGGTCAATCTGTAAGATATATTATTGAAATTCGGGGAAAATGCTTGTTTGATAATAAAATATCCTTGTATCAAAAATGGGTTTAATCGGGTTAATACTTACCTTAGACTCCATATACCTAATATAAAGATTTGCGAACTTCCAATAGACTGTATACCACATATATTGGCCGTGTTTTCTAATAACAGTGTATCTTTGTGCCTAAATGGATAAAATTGGGCGAAAACCTGTCTAAGCCTCCCTATAACTGATATTCACAATTTTGAAGCTCCCGGCTGACTTCACTCCATATACATATATGTTTATATTTATATATTTATAAAATTGAAAATAAATTAATGTAACCAGGCCTTACATTTCTATGCACCCAATGATTTAATAATAATTTTAATATGATACCAAATTTGATTGTAATCCATTCATGATTCCGTCGAACAATGAAGTTGATAACTTGTGCTACTTATTGTAATATTACCAACACCTGAAGGTATTTCCCCGGCTTTGGCCCTTGCAAGTTGCAAGAGTATAAAATGTTTGGTTACACCCGAACGTAGCTTTTTGTATATCATTTTAAATTTGTGATTCTATTATATTTTGCAAACGAATTTGTGTGTTAAGCTTCCAATGTTATTTTTGTTATTTTTAAAGCGAGTTTACAATATACGTGGATCTCTCGTTCCACCAGTCGCGACTATTGCCATCCTTGTCGAAGCGGTGTCCGGCGTCGTAGAACGTATGCATAATGTCGTGCCCTGTCATTGCGCCTAAAGTACCGAATTTTAGTGCTGTTGGGTAGTATTCAAACACATAATGTAGAATAGCTGCAAAATCGATACCGGTACTTTGATGACATTTTCAATGAGGATATTAGTAAGCGTGTAGGATAGTATTTCGCCAGCTTCTATGGGTCTTGGCTCTTCGTGTAATTTTGCGATAAATCTTATAGTATTTAACTCTAATAAAGCAAACACATTTGCTAGATAATCGTCTTTATTGGTAACCAATGAACCAAATTCTTCGGTAAAATCATGATCTGAGTATGAATTGATTTCCATTCGAAGGGCATCGAGTTTTTCAAGTGCATAATGACGGGTCGGTTCTGATATCCAGTTGAGGTCATCTGAAAGTAACTTATTTTTGAATGTTTGCTTTAGCTTATAGAACATATACTCGACATCACGTTTAGGTTTATCGGTACTATATCTACGATAGACCATATTATCCACATTCTTAGCAAAATATGACTTGGTCTTCTCAATGCAGGCTTTCTTTTGCTGCCTCTTTGTTAAATTATCGATATCTAGCATATAATCGGTGAGAAATGTATAGAAAATATAATTAGCTAGTGTTGCTTTTGGTGTCAAGGGAATAATTTTCAACAAGTTTTTCTGATATGATTCAGCAAACTCATACACTTTGTCTAGAACTATTTCTGTGAACTATTATTGTGAGTTTGAATAACTCATCTAGATTCGGACCGAGTGTGTCGTCAATTAAACCTTGTGCTAAATTCAACTCGAAATCCACAATTTCATTTGCAGTCTTCGTAGCCAAATGTGTATCCATTCCCAAAAAATTTTCAAGCTCTTTGCGAATTTCGCTTCTGTAACTATCTCTATACACAGCTGTTGAATTATCCAAATACATAACACGACTTTCTAAGGGCAGTTCCCCCCGACCAATGTAAATTTTATTGACACTATTGGCTTTAAAATCAGCCATTATATCCATGCCTATGATGATGTTCTTGCCATATTTGTGAGCAATTTTCGCAATTGTCTCCACCCAGTCGAATTTATCCGCACTCCATTTAGCCCCGCTGAGCGCAGGCATTTCACCAAACTGGGCGATAGTCCGAATTAAGTCTTGTTTAAGGGGTTCTTTTTTCTGAACTAAATTCACACAGGACCCAAAGAAGTCCTTTACTTTATGGTCGATGTCGGTGTAATTGAAATTTGGATCATTTGTTAAAATTTTTTAATCTTTGCGGTCGAGTAATTGGTTAAACTCTTCAAACAGACCAGTTGTCAAGTGATCGATTGTAGTAGCAGGGTAGATGCGGTTCCAATTTCCGTACGCAAATTTGTAGAAGTCATCGCATGGATCAATTTTGGTATCCATAATCATTAATATTGAATTGGTCTTTGCTAGTCGCATTTTATCGATTTCGAATTTCGATTGATTCGAGAAATTTTTCTTAACACGATTCAAATCACAGGATTTTAACAAAAATCCATCCACTTAATTTGATTAAGATAGCTCACATATTTGGCGATATATGGGGTATGAATTGAACCGGAAGTTAAAATATTTCGATTATGCTTATGGTGCCTAAGGAAAATATTGACCCGATTCAATAAATTTTTCACATACAATCCAACTATTATCATAAAGATACTCTCTACGAATTTCAATAATATATCTTACAGATTGACCACTATTACCGGTAAAAAGTTAGCAACAGGCAGGGGGGGCTTGACTTGAGTTGATATACCTAAAAAGCACTATTTGTGCAAAGTTTAGTCCCGATATACTTGAGAGCGTAAGAATCATAGAGAATTTAAAATTGTGCTATAAGGGAAGTAAGCGTGGTTGTAGTCCGATTTCACCCATTTTCGCAATTTAATATTGGAATAATCCTATGTACCAAGTTTGGTTGAAATTGGTTAAGTAGTTCCGGAGATATGTGACTTCACCAAAAGTGGGCGATGCTACGCCCACCGTCCAGTTTTTATATCGGCTCCTATAAAACTTCTTTGGACCATCTCGGATGTTGAATTTAATGTCTCTAACGCATTTAGTTATTGATTTATTGCACTTTTAGTAGTTTTAAACAAAACTGTTATATGGGGAATGGACAGGATTATCATCCGATCTCATCCATTTTCACCATTTCCTGTGAAAGGAAGAGTCAAAAATATTTATTCTGTGCAAATTTTGGTCATATAGCACGAACGGTTTAGGAGATAAGTATATACATTTAACTTATTAGGAGGCAGCATGTTGCTACAGAGTATAATAGTTTTGTTCACCTTACGGTAGTTTGTATAGGGTTATGTATATATAAATGATCAGGCTGAAGAGACGAATTGGAATCCGGCTGATCCGTTCATTTGTCTCTCTGTGTAAGCTGTAACTTGAGTAAGAGTTGAGATATCTTGATAAAACTTGGTACACATGTTTCTTGGCATCATAAGAAAATGGGTATTATAGATGGGTGTAATCGGACCACTGCCACGCCCACAAAACGCCATTAATAGAAAACTTATAATTTGCGATAACTAAGCTCCAAAATAAGATACAAGACTGTTATTTGGTATAACGAACAATAGGTTGGTGCATCTGCCGTTTAAAATTTTTTAAAAAGCGGGCCTGGCCGCGCGGGTTCATGCTCATTGTTTTTTTTTTAATTTTTAATACACAGTTGTTAAGTTCTATTGCAATCTCCTGTACAAAATTACTGTTTTATAGCTTAATTTAGTGTTTAGTTATATGATTTTGTGACAGTGATTCCATAACATCCTTCTACTCATCCCACCTTTTTTACCAAGGAATAAGTGGACAAAAATTCCATTATGATATCCCAATTTTTACTCAAGTTACAGCTGGCACGGACAGACAGACAGACGGACAGGCGCCCAACCAGATTTCCACTATAACCCTATATCTAGCTCGATTATTTTTAGGTGATACAAACAACCGTTAGGTGAACAAAACTATTATACTCTATAGCAACATGTTACAAGAGTATTAAAAACATATTTTCAAAATATCTTTAATGCTCGAATATTTCTTATGGTATTCAAAAGCAGAGAAGTTTCACTTTCACAACATTCTGTTAAATCCACATATACAATTATATATTTTTATATAATGTGCATTTATATATTTTTTCCATGTGTTCAAAATCATTAAATATTCACAATTTCTCATTTGCCTATTAATCTGACCACATATATACTTAAATATTGACTATCATAAAAACGCTTTCGGGTTTGATCTCTTCCAGTTCAATAATACAAAATAATGAAAGAGATACATACTTAAGTGTACACTTCATTAAAGAAGCATGAATTATAGACTTAACGGTAATATTTATAGAAAATAGAAAATTATTTCCATTCATTTCATCTGCAACGTTACATATATTACATAAATCCATACGAGTATGTATTATCAATATACCTTGAAGCGACACACCTGCGTGGATAAGCACTTATGAATATTTCTATAACATAATATATACGAGTGTATTACGTAGAGATAAGTATCTATATTAAATATGCACATTTCCTAGCCTTGCAGCTCGCATTACTCCTATATAATAAAATACCCACTTACACATCTGAATATTTCGGTGTAATGCGCAATATTTCGCAAATGAATCGATCAATCAATCACGCAAAGCTTTTAGTATATCAAAAAGCTATAATAAAATTATACTTGGAGAAACCTCAAAAGATACTACATCCTAGCACTCGACACAGTTAATCTGTACTAATCATTACAATTTGTATGTGCACTCACACATATGTATATATAAATAATGTATTTGTGCGTGTATTGTACAATATGTTTGAGAATTGATGCGCTGCAACCGTCATATATCCAAATATATCATTACTTATGTTGATAATTTGCAAATTTACAGAATTCGAGATAAATGTAATACAAAAGTTAAGCGTTTGTTGAGGAGGCAGTTCATGGAGTGCGGCCAGTGAATTATTTGAAATAGCAACGCAGTTTTCTAGTTAAAATATGCACAAACCATGCAGCTCATATACTAAGTAATTGGTAAGTTTGTTGTTGGACAAAGCAACAATAATCATCTTAACAATCAAACTTACATTTCACACCGCAAGAGTTGTCGATTATGGTAGTTTGAAGACGAAATTTTGAGTTGCTAAATAATGTAATTGCTCTTGGCAATTTACTGCAGTCTTAAGAGTAGCCAGAGCGCAGTTGCCCGCCGAGCCGAGGGAGAAGTGAGGGATATATAGTATGGGAAGTCTGCAGGCAAACGAATTATCTTGAAAGTGGTTTGGTTCTGATCTTATCCATACCAGGTTGGGTCAGTCTAGAATTTTGGAAAAACTAAAATTTTTCTTGGCTGAAAGAGCACTTTAAGGTCATAAAAATACAAATCGATAGGTAGTATTGTGAAAAAAATGCTTGTCTAATGCGCTATAGTAACGAAGCGTTCGGAAAGTGGAGTAAATTAGACATGCCGTCCGCATTAACAAATTAGACAGTTAAACCAAATTTGAATTCATTGCTCTCAGGGTGACGTGATTGGGCGCTCTTATAGTAGGAATTAGGAATTGAAGTTAAATAATCGCCTTATAATTACAACAGATTTGATTTTTCGCGATCATTTCAAGTCTGGATAATTAAAGAAATTTGATTAAAACCATTGTTTATAGTCCATAGTTATTGATAGATATTGTAACATATTTCACTTGCATGCAATAAAAGAAATTAAATTACATTCCTGTTAACTTATGCAACCAACTGCCTACTGCATACATATTTAATTGCTTACTACATATACAAAAACAAAGAGGATAAGTACTTAACCATTACACACATTTGTCAGCAATTTAACTCGATATCACATGGTATCACCCACCGTTCGAGCATGGCATCATAGTAAAAGTGATAATTTTAATGAAAAGCACCGGCCAATTCGCCTTTTGTCGAGCTATGGTCTGATAAATACCTGCCCCGCTTAAAGGTGAATTTGTATGCAATCGTTTAACTATTCTCAACAGAGATGCCAATATCGCCCGCCACCAATTCCATTATACAGAACGTAAGCATCGCCCACCACCAATTCCATTACCGGTTTATATGTATTGTGTCCATCTCCCTCCCCGCGCAGCTCACTAGCTATGGCCACACTCGACGTGGTGTCACGGTGTTGTCCGCAACCAGTCAGGCGTTGTGCGTACATCGGTTGGTGTTTTCGTTAAAAACCACTCGAAAATGAATTGCATTCCATTCGTCTTCGATGTCGCATCCATTTACACGTTTATCCAACACTTGAGTAGATTCTGCTCGTCTACATACGTTCTGTATTGTTCGTTTAAACGTTTTCTCGCTTGGTTGCAGGCGCGATTCACAATCCAATGGTATGTGTGTGTATGTGTGAACTTTCAAATACATGACGCACACCTTTGAAAACAAATGAAATGTGCTTTGTTAAGAGGAGGACTTTGTTTTGTCAAGAGGGTCGGCATTTTTTTAAATTTTCTTCCCTTTAAAGATACATGCCACAGTTATCAAACGGGATCAGTGGATCCGAATTTGAAGGCAGTTTCTGCCTTTACTCAAAGAGTTGTTTCTGATAATGGAATTTACTAATAACACACATTGACATTCCATCCCAGTTCTTGGGATTAGGAAAATACTGCTTACAAAATCTATTATCTCCTCGGTGCTGGTTTAAAATTTGTGGAATAAATTCTCTCATACCTTACAGTCTAAGCATTCATATTTTAGGAATTAAGGAAAAAATTTTATATAGTTAGACTCAAAACTCTAGAATAAATTGTTCTAACAACTTCCGACGTTCCTTGGGAATAAATGTCAAAGCCGCGCTTGTATATTAATTTCGAGAATTTATATATACCCTTGCAAAACTAAATCGTAGCCTGAAACGTTTTGTTCGTTACTTTGAAAATGTCTACAAAATCTGAAAAAGTAGTAGTAGTAGCCACTCTATATCTTGCCGTTTTTCTCATTGTGTTATTTTAGGTCGAAAATTTTCGATAAAATTAAGTGGGTTTTCATTCGAAAAGAACGTGACGGAGTATTAATATAGTTTATTTGCTCTCACAAATTAGTTAGTCAGGGGATTTTATGGTTTGAAATTTAAAAATATCGATTTTTTTGCATATATTGTAGCATAACTCTTTAAAAATATGCCCCTAAAAAGATTTTTCGAAATTTCAATTATTTTCGGAGTTACAGCTCATTTTGTGATGCGTCGACCAAATCGACTGGCAGCGCGGAGCGAGCTTTAAAGGGAAGTAACGAAACATATTTTTTAAACAGCCGCCATTTTGTGAAAAAATCTTTAAGGATCACTCAATAATTTTTGGGAGTCCTAATATTCTGGCCTGGAAGTTTTTGAAATTTTTTTTTCTTTTTTTAGTATTATAACTGATTTGATACTCTTTAAATATCAATAAAAAACATATAAAAAAATGTATGGTAAAAATATTTCTTGTTTTTTGTTTAATCAGGTCCAGGAAAACCAGAATGCGCCCTTAAGCCAGCAGTGATTAGTGCTTTCTAGATGGATATCATCCTTGCTAAAGTGATATCCGTAAATTTTCGTTTCTAGATAAGACTACTTTGTATAGCTCTATCTTCTCTCGATAATTTCTGTGTAGTAAAAGTTGTTCAGAGGCTTCAGCATAGTTTTTAAATTATTGATTTTTATGGCATGAAAGACTCATAGTTTTCTTTTACATTGTAAACCTGGATCCGGCAATGAAGTCCAATAAATAAATTTCTGACGATATATTACGGGTATACCACATTATACACTAAGGGTATACCAACAAAAGCGATGTGATGTTAAACTGAAATAAAACACTTAAATTTGGTCAAAAGGGGTTATGTTTTATTTTTGTTATGCAGATAATTTATGATTTGCACAAAATGTCCACAAAATGGCTACCATGGTTCCTAATTTCGTCTATAGTGTGCTGAATGTTGTTTTCGAGCTCCTCGAGCATTGCTGGTTGATTGGCGTAAACATTTGAATTACCATACTCCGGCGGCGCTCCGTCTTGTTGAAAATAAAGATCGTCTGCGCCAATTTCATTTAATTCCGGGGAAGTCGGTCAACATCATGTGATAACGCTCACTATTTATAGTAACAGCATTTCAATAGTGTCCACATCTTCACAGGCTCTCCATTGCTCTTAGCCGCTCATGTGTGACCAAGTGTGACAATATGTACATAAACACGCTACGGTTACTACGTATTTCCAATGAAACTATATACGTACATATCTATGTCACTCACTTATATGGTTTGTGTGATTTTCCAGCATTGTGATTCTCAATTACTCGTTCGCACCGTTTATCTTTTCGCAAAAAAATTGCTGTCCTGACCAACCGCCAACTGCTTCTGCTGGACACCACTGAAGTGCTCACATCATAGCTATGTATATGTCTAACCTCATGTGTACCTATGTATGTACATAGCATGGATACAAACTAACTGCCCACACACAAAAGAAATTATTTACACATGTGCAAGTAGTCGTCGGTTAATAGTTCTTTTGTTAAAAGTCAATGAATATTTTATTAAAGAGCCGAACACGCTTGGCCTGAAATCCACCGGAAAGCCGCAGCAGTGCAGTACTTAGAGAAAATCGTAAGTGTATTGCGGCGGGGTAAATCAGAAGGACCACACACTTGATGCTGGTTACCCACTTTAACACATTAAATATGTATGTATTGCCAAAATTTCAGTCGTATCGAATTCCGTTCGTTATTTTCTATTATTTCAACAAAATATATATGTATAAAAAAAAAGATGGAGAAAGTTAAGGAACATTGTTAAATAAATATCTGAACGTGTGTTTGCACAAATCGGCATGATTATTAGAAGGGTGTTTTCAAAAAGTGAAATCTCAAAGTGTAAATATATATATGTCAAGTATGTCAGCAAGTATTTGTATAAATGTGAAATATGGATCACTTAAGATTCTCAAAAGTAGTGCTTTAAAAAAGCTTAAATTGTTTCGATTGTGTGACTGTTCTTCTCGGAACTTGGGTACTTATGCATTTACGTATATATCAGCTTCTTTAAAATTTTAAATTCTATTTATATTATATATCATAACTGTTTGATATATGTGTCTTGATGGTATGTGTGTGCTCGTTTGTATTAACTTAAAGTAATTCATATAGATATAGCGTTATATTTATGAAAGTATTTTGAAAAGGTCCCACTTATATCGGTGTGTCTTAGTATCCTTACTTCAGTTTATTCGTCGGTTCATTCACTCTTTCATTTGTGCATGCAACGGATAACTTTTGCAGCAATTGCGATAACATGCTGTCGCTAGACAAGCATGTTCTATTGGTACTTTTTGGCAGCCAGAAAACTCATCATAATGAAGCAGAAGTTTTATCATGTCCATGCTTACCAATAGATGTCGATCTAAAATTTCCATTATAACTACGGTCAACCTCTATATTTACATATACGATATCACATAGTAATATTCTTTCAGCCTATTACAAGTTTTCTTTTTTCAACTCTGTTCAATTATCAGTCTGTCTAAGTTAGTTTCTATTAATGCCCATTTGCTGTGAGCTTTCTCTAAACGAAATGTTATTTGTATCACATCCAATTATATTTAAAATTTGAGTCATCTCACTTTCAATTTTCAATAATATTTTAGCCAGCACCTTCTAAGAGGCGTCAAGTTTTTGATTAGAAAAAAACACGTTTAGATTATGAAAGTATAACATAAATTAAAAGCGCAGATCTTAAAATAAGTTCAAGTCGCAGTCCGTGATTATCGAAATAATATAACTAGAGTATCATTCAATTTCAGTAATGTCTACATAATTTCTTTTTTGGACAATTTCAAATCGCTTATTAAGATTTAATTAGCATGCAATTTCCAATGTAATTTTTCATTTCATTTTCATATTTATATTATTTTGTGCGTTGTCCAAAAATCCAACAAAATATCAATATTCCTAGGAATAATAAAACTTAATATGATAACATACAATCAATTATTAGGAATTATTCCTATGAAAAATAAAACTTAATATGATAACATATAATCAATTATGATGATATTTTGTTGAATTTTTGGACAACGAACAAAATAAAATAAATATGAAAATTGAATGAAAAATTACATTGGAAATTTCATGCATTCAATCATAATAAGCAATTGAAATTAAAAATTATTTTATTTTATATATTTGTTTTAATTAGAGCTTTCACCAATGCATTGGCCACGATGATTAACTCTTTGACACCTGGTACTTATTCTCGATATAAAAACACTCTTAAATGTTTTGCTCCTGTTAACTTGTGCAATTTCATCTGCCGTTACCAGATAAATACATAGGATTAATAAGTATATGAGTCTCATATTTGTGTTTTCTTTTTCCAAATGAGCGGAGCAAAATAAATTTTAACTGTACACAGAGGCTATTAAGCCTTTACTAAATTTACATTACTTGAGATTGCTTGGCATTACTTGTATATCATCATTAGAGTGTGTTCAAGCAATATTTACATACTTGTATATTCAAAAGCTTTTTCGAAATTTGCTTAATGAATATAGTAAATTATATTTGATAAAACAAAATAAATACTATAAAAATTATAAAACAAAAAATTAAAATGTTAAAAAATGTTAAATTATCTCAACGTTTTTTACACAAATGATAGAAAAAATTATGAAATATCTGCGATCTGGTTTCTTTATTGTTTTTTCCACAAATGATATACAATATAACAATGTTTTACTTGATATTACGATATAATCGTTTGTGTATTCTAGTTCGCTGGGTTCGATTCTGCGACTTTCTTTGTGATATTGTTGTCATTTCCTTTAGTGCCGCGTGGAATGCAATTTCCACGGTGATCTCTCCAGCAGTTTTCCTTTGCCACTAGAATCTGATATGTGTATTAAAGTTTAGCACTTATAGCTGCAATTCCAATATATGCGATTAGTACCATCATTAAGTAGATGAATCTCATTTTTATGGTATATTTTCGATTTTGGGAGCTTTTGACAGCAAAATAAGCCTTAACTTTATCAATGGACCTTCAAGTATTTACTAAGGTTTTTAGCCATTGTATATTTTGAAATAAACTAGCACACTTTTATCAGTTAAACTTTTTATAGCAAATTTTTAATACTAATATGTAATACATAGTCGTTATCACTATATAATAACACTATACAACACTTGGCTGGGTGTTAGCCTAAAATATTTCTTACGAGAGATCGAGTCATAAGTAAAAAAAACAATTTCTCGAAAATCCAAAATCAATATTTTTGTGAAAATTGTTGAATATTCGACAAAAAAAATATTAATTTACAGCATCTGTCTTATGAGCTTGACCTATATAATAGGAAAATGTGTATGATATCCATATTTTAACTTTTTACAAACTTACATATTAGAACCATAATTATGGTTTTAGTAAACTCAATATCAAAATTCGAAGGCAATTCGATTTTAAAGGCTAACTTCGAAAAACGGAGAAATTAATTTTTGTGCATGACTTGTTTTCTCGAAAAAATTGGTATGATTCCAGCCGAGTGTTGTACAGTGTATGGTAATTGAAAAAAATTGGTTTGACCAATACCCAAAAAAAAAACAAGTCGACATTGCCATATAGTATAATCAATTCATATAGATATTACATATAACAAGTTAAAATACGATTCGAAGAGCTGATGAATTTGTTGAGAAAACGCATGCTAATTGGTTAAAATTGTGACTGGAAGGTAAACCGAAAACCACTTCACTGAAGTTATGCCTTTTAGTTAAGTGATTGATAGATCCATTAGTAAATGCATATTTATTTCATTCTTTATTTAATTGATTTAATCGTATACACCATAGTTCACCAAATATTATTCTATATACAATATTATTTATATATTCGCAATATTTGTACATATTTATATATAAGCATATTTAAGTAAGTTTGTACACCAGCTCCTTACTAGGTTCTACGAAATAAATTTGGTCTAGCTTCTTCATCGATACACCGGCCGCGGTGATCAAAATGTTTGCAGTACAACCGAGGTCTACTTGCTAGAGCCATATTATCTGTCAGTATTTGGTAATTCGTTTGAAAATATTCATCCGTGGCTACAAGAGAAATGCATAAAATCAATAAATATAATGATTTCATTTTATTTGATGTTGTTGTTGTGAGGTTGTGAGGTTCAGGAAGTATATATATAACACTCGTGCTGATAGAAGTTCGAATGCTTACTAAATTAAATATCTGCCCAGCTAAGCTTGGGAGCTTTGTAATTTTTTAACTAGTGAAAACCAGATCAAGTTAATAAAACAATACTTGGCAAATATTCAGATCTTGGTTGATTCAAGTTTTCATTTTTTCTGAGATTTCGCTAATAAAATGATTTGTTACATGATGGCTCTATGATCGAACCTAGCTTTACATATTTTTAAACCGTATTGGTGTGAGTATAACCACATACTTGATTTCGATAATAACTGGCTGACAGACAAAAATTCAATCAAAGTCCTTTAAAAATTGTTTAATGACGAGCTCTTTTGTGCTACGAAAAGCGATACTCTGATTTTAATACAATCTGTATATGTAAGTTTTGGATACTAAGTCAATTTTTTTATAGTGAGATAGTTATTTGAAATTTTGAAAAATTTAATGCCAATAACTTCAGTGTGGCAACTATTGTAATTTCGAAATGAAAAGATTAAGTAGCATGGTTACATTTAGTTATGATTATATTCATTATCAGTGAAGTTTATAAACATTTAAATATATATAATTGCAGGTACATATGTACGCATGACATATATGCCCTCTTGCCGAAGATTTAATTAACGAGATAAGCGAAGAGAGACTTTTATAATCAGCTTGCATTACAATAGACATTTATTTTTTACTCTTGTGGAATAAATGAAATGATCTGAGCTACATGCCATAAGCACTCGGGTTTCACTGTCAATTAAAAAAGTTTACTATAGTCCCGATTTAGTTTTCTTCGAACATCACTGCAGTACTCGTATACGACCGAATACAGCAGTATTAGCACGAGTGAATTTAACTTGCTTCTGTGAGATTATGCATTTTTTGTGATAATTATATGAATGTAAATAGCTCAATGTAGATCGAGAGTATTCGTATATTTTTTCACGCTCTCAAAATTAAATCAAAGATGGTTTGGAAGACTTAACTTCCCTTTGAATCTGCAGTAATTATGCACAAAATACTGAGATATCCTGCTAATATCTGGCAGAGGAAAAATTCGAAAACATTAAGCATTAATACATTTTTTTGAAACTAAAAAACGAAATATTTGAGACGAAAGAACTGGAAGTTAGACCTCAGTTGGGGATACATACTCGGAATTGACATGGATATTATTGGGACAAGTGCTGTCAACTCAGTAGCATTCCTCAAAATTTTTTTGGCACAACAAGGTTAAGATGCCTATGAATTTGCTGTTAACGAAACAAATAAATAAAAATGTTTTTTCTCAAAACAGAACTTCATCAAGTGTTTCTAACGTACACCGCTATAAATCTTTCTAGAAATGTGTATATCATATCTTTATGGATCGGCACAACGCAAACCAATCGTAACTGAAGATCAGTAAATTCATCTAATAGGTAGTGGATTGAATTTCGAGCAGTGTTATGATTGGAAAATTTTCAAGTGACTTATTTCGGTCAACGATTATCCTTAATTATATAAAACCAGAGACCCTCTAAAGCATATATATAAATGATCAGGGCGACGAACTGATTCAATTTGGGCATGTCTGTCTGTCTGTTTGCACACATTCTATTCTCCCCAAGAAGCTGCATATTTGTCATTCACTATACAATATAGGGTATAGCTGACACACGAAATTTAGTCTTTGCGTGAACAACTTTTCTATTTGAAAAATATCTTCACAAAAATTAGCAGGGATTATTGCTCAATAAAATGCTTTAATCCCTGCACACATTGTTTAGTTCAGACCACTACAGAATATAGCTGTCATATCTCGCAACGATCCAGTTTAGGCTCGTGTATGAAAAACTTTTTTTTTTGACAAGATATCTTTATAAGATTCGGCATGGCTTATTGTTTAAGATAACGCTACAATCTCCGACCCAAATGTTCAGATCGCACCACTATTGCATATAACTGTCATACAAAGTGACCACGATATAAGGTCTTCATAAATATCTTTTTTTCTTCATAAGTAACCTTAATTCGATTTGAAGTTCGTTTACCATATATTAAACAACGTGGCTAGAAAGAACTAGCGTTTTCAAATTTACTCTTAAAAATGGGTTAAATCTTAGCGACTGCTATAGACAAAGTAAGCAATGAATACTGATGCTGAAAATGTTATCCTCCTTTTTTTTTAACATAATAAATGATGATTAACGTAGAAAAATTGTGAATTGGACCCTCCTGAAACGTGAAACTTTAAAAATCCCGTAATTTTTTGAACACACCACATAGTTATACATATAGTTGCTATAAGAAATGCGCCTGTGAAAACCACTTAAACACTTAAAGTGTACAGAGTGCCGTTAGGTATTGTAACATGTCATAAAAATTGAAATAACAACTTTGAAAAGTGGCTGTCAGCTCTTCACACGTTTACAAATTTTCAACTTAATAATTTATCGCAGTTATTGGCAACCTTTCACGCTAGTGGATCTACCTGAAAAAGTGATTTATGTGCAGATTACATTTATGGCTGTACACGTATGTGTAACAGTTAAGCGTCCGAACCTCACGAGGGAAGGCAGAAAAGGCCGCAAGGTCGCCAATTTGTCGACAAGACGATCGACGATCCATTAATAGCGTTGAAGTGTCGATGTTATCTGTGGACGAATGTTGATTGTCAGCTTGCAGCCTGGTTATATGCCAATCAAAACGAGTGCGGAGCGAAGTAGCAATGCAGGCGGACATTTTAAATAAATAAAAGGTAACACGTAAAAATGCCTAGAAATTAAATGTGAAACGGTGATAATAAATACATATTTCATCCTTATTAATCCTTTTACGTTTGCCAAGAAAGTATTTTAGTGACCCATATCAAATGCCAAGATATGCATATCCAGATATACGACAACCAACAAGCGGTATGCCTTCAAAGTGCGGGAGTGTTTTTTGCATTCAAAAACCCATTCGCGCAACACGAAAAGTGTAACAAGATAAATACATATATTATAAATGCTGTGGGCTTCGCTTTACACTTTGTTTGAATAAACGAAGCGAATAGTTGCATTGCAGCCGATGAGATAATGTCACGCGCACACGAGTACTACAAACCTAAACTTCGTCTGTGGGTATGACATAATGCGTTTATCATACGAAAGTGCTGGCAAGCAAAAAAGGCAAAGAAAGGAAAAAAAAGTGTGAAATATATAGAAGGAGAAAGAACCTGTAAGCGCACATTGTAAATTCTAGTCAAACACAAAAAGGATTTAGCATTCTGCATATTCGAAATTCGGAAACATACAATAACATTCACACCCACAACACACACCAAAAAAGGCAAAAATAACTCAGTTTAATGCTTTGTGTGCAGTGTGGCGAACTATGATCCTAGCCAACACGCACTACTACCCATTTCCGGTCGCTAGTGACAAGAACCCACAAAGGCCAAAAAAGGTGGGTAAATGTAATAAAAATTATAATCGGATGTGACAGGCAACGCATGTGGGGCACATACGTATTGAAATGTGTGAGACTGAATATATACACTTATACATACATACACACTCTAATATATAGTATTGCTATCGTCGACGCTTTTGTATTCAAATTTTTGCGATTAGAAATCTATAGAGGCATGGAACGTAGCGAATAACAGGAAACAAAAAATTAAAAAAAATATACATATATGTATGTATTTATGCTTATATATAATATAAGCGTTGCAACAAGTTTTGACAATGGTAAAAATTGTATAAATTTTGTTTGTCCCGCAGAAAGGGTATACAATTTTCGTTTGAATGTGGCGTACTGCTGGGGTAGTGGCAGGGGGTGATGGCTGAAAATAAAAAAAATCCATTAAAATTCAAAAAGCGCATTTGGCATAAAATTGATATAGAACTTTTACTTTGTGCTTCAAATTCCTATTTCACAGTGCAGTTGTTGTAGGTAAAGAGAAAATGATGGAAAAATCTGCAGATAAAAGATATCTCTGCGACAGCTGTATTTGTGTTCGGTAAACTGTCAGCAAAACATATTTCTAAATTTCTGTTGAAACAAGTAAGGATGGGAAAAGTTTGGGCACAGTCGAGTACTATATGCTTTAATGAGGTTAGATTTTTCTATTGTTAAGTGAATTATATTGATAAAATTTAATATTGTTTTTTATACAAAAAATAGGCGTTGTTGTAGTCCAAATTAACTGATTTTGAAATTTTAATAAAAAATGGCAGCAAAATGTTAAGTTAGATCGAGTAATTTTAGACGTAAAAGATTTCACCTAAAACTGGGCGGTGTCAGGCCTATTGTCTAGTTTTTGGTACTGATGCACACCCAAACGAGCTTTATAATCCTTAATGTTAAATGTAATGCTTCAGATCTTTGATCGCTAAAGAACTATTTCATATTTAGTGGTTTTGAATATGACAGTTGCATTGCAGGTGGGCGTGGTTGTCATTCGATTTCGACTATTTTCATATTGTAACATAAATTTCTAAAACGATATGTTTCCATCAGGTTTGGTTGATATAACTTGAGTTTGAGAAACAATAGGTACATTAAACCTTTAAGTAAGCGGGCCTGCTCCTAGTTTATAAAAAGTTTAAGCTCCTCTTCAGTACCAAATTTATGTCTTTTTGTATCATTTGTAAATTAGTTACATCACTTTATATAGTAGTTATGTGGGCGTGGAAACGGGTCGATTTTTTTATTTGCAATACCAAACAGTTCTGGGTGCCAAGGATCATATGTACAAAGTTTTATAAAAATTTCCTAATTTTTACTCAAATTATCGTTTGCAGAGACAGACTGACGGACGTCGTCTCAGCAACCCGATCAGTTTGATCTATTTAACTCTATATTTCTCTAAATTAGTTTTAGATATTAGAAATAACCGGTAGCTGAACAGAACGATTATATGGTACTACTTGCAACATATTGCAAGAGTGTAAAAAGGTAGATAAATTGATAAAATTATGCGTAAATAGTTCCAAACAACACTTTGTCTACAACGCAATACACCAGCATCTTTACTCTTTCTTTGTGGTTACACAATAAAATTTTTTTCAACATTTCTGAATACATTTTTATTATTAAAAGTAGCAATAGTTTTATGATTTATAGTTTATATCTTTACACACCGTTATACTATCATAAAGCCCATATATAAAATAGAATGTGGTAAGAATTTTGCATGAGCAGCAATGCTTTGAGCACTTGCTATATTCCCCTCACTGCTGTCGTTGTTGTTTTATCTCCTCAAATTACAGATTTCGGCAATATTTGCATGCCTTTGTGCTTAGAGTTTGCCAAATCTGCACCGAAGGCATTTAATTGCATTCCAAAAAGGCAATATTATTATCATCGAAGCTTTTGTGTGGTGAGAAGGAAAATGCTGATATTGTGATAACGGTATAATGTAGTGCAACACAGTATAAAGTCCTTAAGATAGATACAGTTTAAGATCTCTGTTTATTCATGTTGGCATAGTCGAATGTGTGGTGATTACAACACGATGGGTTGTTGGCTGCAATCTCTAGCAGCTGTTAACTTTCATCTTTAAAGGCTAAATGCTGTCTACCCATCTTTTAACCACATCTCGTCAGCTAACATAAGGAAACTTAACAACGTGCTTGAGCTGATGGTGGTGACTTACTCTATTTACTGCTACTACCATCGGAACGGCTCTCTTTTTGTAGTTCTGGACATTCAAAGAGTAGTTGCTTCGGTGTATTCGTCGCGAGGTCGTAGAATCGATTATTTTCTATCCAATTCTCATTTTATGCATTTTACAGCTCAGTCTGCAGTGGCTAGTACACATTGTTATAATCTATCTTAGTGTTTCTTTGGGGAGGCTGTCTAACCGTAAAAGTTTTGGGGAACTATAATTTTACTTAAATTTTTTCTTTTTTTCGAAGCTTTTTTTTATAAAATGATTTGCTCCAGTCCAATCGGCTTGATGACCGTCGCTTACCTAGGCAGATTATCAGCTATCTCATTTCTTATAGTACTGTTACGATTTTCTAAGCAATCCAGTACCATTGCTAACTCGCATAACTTGTGATAGATAATTTTCTTCAAATGCACGCCCACTTTTAAATTGTTTTCAAACAATTGTAATACTATCTGTCATAAATTATAATTCCAATTTATCAATTATGATCCAGTTCCGCCTGTTTACAAACAAAACCCCAATCATTCTTCAAGTTCTTTGTCATTATGCACTTTGCACCTTCATTAAAATAAAATTCCAAGTATTTTGTTTATTTACCATAACAAAGCAAGCACTCATTTGCGTGTTCGTATTAAGTAATATGGTATAATTTATTGCCACATGCGGACCACTTAGTCAATGGTGCATCGATAATATCAACAAAAATGCTTAATTTACATAAAAGGAAATCCACTTTTGCGCGCAGATCAAGTGCAAGCTTCGCTCCTACCCATACCAAGTCCAACACGTGCCGCATATGATTTAATTAAAGCTTATTACACCACTGCCAAGTGAGGTGTTAACTACTCGAACAGCTGATTTGAACCAGTTTCTGCGCATAAATTATAGAAATTGTAAAAATTAATCACAGAGTGTTGTAAATCAGAAGACCAAATAAGCTGCGCTGACTTGACCACTGCGGTTGATCTCCATATAAGCGTATGCTTACGAGCTACCGGATTTTTATGCAAAATATTGAAATACTTTACGATGAAAAGAGAGCAATGGCGCGCTTCATTAACCGGATTGTATATCGAAAGCGCTAAAATGCTATTGAACGGGAAATATTTAGAAAATACGCAATGAACTTGTATTTGAAGTTGGCTGCAGTAAATTGCGGTGAATAATTATAAGGCAGCGTGAGCTGAAGTTCTTCCCGTGCATTGTGAACTAAATAAAGTATATTTTACTGTTTTTTCCACGCTATATATTGATTTATTGCAATTAAAGGGGCCTGCAGCGACACCTACTCATCTAATAATCATGCCAACCTTGTTGCCAGTGGAGACCTATAAAAGCGTTGGATATTCTTGAAGCTGGCATAACGCTATCGATCGACACTTGGTAAGAACGTCGAGCGGTCGTAAGGAGATTAAGACATAATGAAGCATACTGTGGTAAGTGAAAATTGAAGCAAATAACTATTTTTTTTTCAGAATTGCAACTTATACCACATCTTATTTATAACATCAATGTAGGTGCTGACACTGGCTGTGATATGCCTGGTATGTGTGATGCAGAATGAAGCTAGCATTTTGCCGTTGGTATTGGAACCACAGGCACCGGTTGTGGTTTCGGTGCCAACGATACCAGTGGTGAAGATTGTGCCTGTGGCTGCTGGTGGTGCTGGCGGCGGTGGCGGTGGTGGCGCTGCTGGTGTTTTGGGTGGTGGCGGTGGAGGCGGTGGTGCTGGTAGCGCTGGCGGCGGCGGTGGCGGTGGTGGCGCTGCTGGTATTTTAGGTGGTGGCGGTGGAGGCGGCGGTGCTGGTAGTGCTGGCGGTGGCGGCGGTGGTGGTGGTGGCGCTGGACTCCTTAGCAGTGTAGGTGGATTGGGTGGCTCTGGTGGCCATTAATTGTATGATAAAGTGTTATTTGTAAATACGTTGCATTGTTTATATGTTGGTAACAGTTTTTGATCCATTTTGTGTACTTAGTTTATGCTCTTTACATTCACATTTCTGTCTTTGAGTTGCTTTTGGTTATTGCAAGTGAATATAACAAATATTTCAAAAGTAAAATAATAATTTGTTTCAATAATATCGAGTAAAAATGTTGGATAGTGAAGAAGATGAAAAGATAAATAAAACTGAAAATTAGACAAATTTTAAGAAGTCAAAAGAACGAGTTTGATAGCAAGCGAATTCGCCATTTTCAAAATTTAATTTGCATGAATAGAGCTTCAAATTGCTTCTAGTGGCTTTTTTCCGATTATCAAGGCTCAAAAAATGGTCTCTTAAAGGAAATCGACGCTTTAGTAGGCAGATCGCTTTAACTAGGATATTGTCCTCAGCATCTCTACACCCATGTTGACTAATAATTTTAGCTATCGCTCGCGTCTTTAATCGCGTATGGAAATGTGTTTGTTCGTGGCTTTTAATATAATGAAAAAAAATAAATTTGGGTCAATGATTCGGTTCTTGTTTATGGAAGGAAAAGCTGCCTCGATGGCAATTGTCAAAAATTCGTTTAACGAGTTTCTACATCTGTTTTTGAGAACCCATCTCCAGCTGCTTGAAAACGGCTACCACGTAGGATAACAGAACACAGTCACAGAGGTTACAAAAGTGCAAGATCTCATATTACTTGTAGTAGACTGAGGCACTAGAAACTTGAATAGGTGAGTTATCTCCAACACGAAGGCGTACTTTGTAGTCCTACAGAAAAAGTAGTTAAAGAAATTGAAGCATCGCTGGGTCATGTTTATTGAGTTAAAAGAAGACTATGGTGAGGCATAGTTCGTTATTTTTCCAAAATTTTCGTTTTCCTTTTGCAAAATAAATATTTGAATAAATATATAATATTTTTTTAAAATAAATATTTGAGGAGAGTACCTATAGTATTTTTTGAAAATACGAGGGTGATTTTCAAAAAATACTATATTCTCATAAAACCGTTATGTTTCATGCAAGTAATGCGAGAATACGAAATCACTCGTTCATTGATTTAACAGATTTAATTGCCCCGTGATGTGATGTGTTTTTCCACCAAAATATTTGCACACAAAAACAAATACGCATTTTGCTCATGCCGCATCTAAATAGATCGGGGCTTTCATAAATTGCATGCATTGCGACACCTGAGATGAGTGATGTATGTCCCAACCGGCAAGTGATGAGATTGAAGTTTTTGTGGTGTTCTTTGCAGCTCCTGCCGCGCATTTTGCCCACCACTCGCATTGCTTTCGACCGGCAGCCACAAAATAGCCACAGCCAAATTGAAATTCATGCGCAGGCGACTAAATTTCGTATCATTTATTGCCATATACGCAAGTACGCGTATGTATGGATGTAGATGGCAAAGCACGCTTTCGAATGTGCGTATCTATTTCATTGTTGTTGTTGCTATATGATTTCATTAGTGCTGTACCGAGTTTAGATGGGTACCGCTTGCCATCGTTAGTGTATTGTAACGGCGAGTGAAATGTGTTTGCGATTCGAAAAATCCCAATGTAATTTCCTAATTTCATTCCGTTGCCGATTTTATAAAGCTCTGTGTGGTAAGCTCTGCGTGTGTATGTATGTAAATGTAAGCCTCATGAGCTCATCATGCATTGATATGTACGTCTGAAGTTTGCGTTATTTTACCGAATGTATGAGTACTTTATTTTGCAGTTGGTTGACATATTTTATATAATTCACCAATTCGGGTAAAATGTTGTCAAAGAATTTATGATCTAGTCCGTACCATCGATTTGGAGTGGTAAACGATTTTTAGAGAGATTTTCGTTTTAATTTAGGTATATATGTCCGGCTGAAAAGTTGAATGTCAAAGCATGAAGGTATTTCCACTAGATTGCAATTTTATGCTAATTCTGTATAGTACATCAGTTTTAGGTGAAAGGTTAACTCTAAAAAGACCTTAAAATCTCACTATCTAGAATAATATGAATGTCACTATTCCAACCGACGATTCCTATATATAATTCTAAATTTGCCCAGGTATTACATCACTAGTACAAGTATGTGAGTGGAACAAAGCATTCAGTGAATCCTTCGAAAACTCATCCCTTCACCTCTGTTAAGGACGATAATATCAAAAAGTTAATGTAGCAGTGCTTCAAAACCGTGTCATGGCTACATTCGTACCAAAAGACCAAAAAAAAAACTGACCGAATTGTACGCGTTAGCAAATTGATCGCGCAAAGGAAAAACTTCATTTTTTTGAACGCACTGTACCTTTTCTGCCATCTAAAATAATACCGTAGACACCTTTGAACAATATGAGCGCTCGTAATAAATAATAAAGTTTTTATTTTGCACTAAAATCCAAGAAAGTTATCCTATATCTATGGTTATGGAAATTCATCTCTTTACATTAAGATGAATGAAATATGAGCTCAGATCGCTAAAAGCGTTTTTTTCTCACAATACTGTTGCATTTATTCTGCGCCATTCTCGGGCTTTCAAATTTATGTATTCTTTTCTCAAAAATTTTTCAGGCTTGTTTGTTGGCATGTTCTTTAATGGAGCATTTATATAATGTTGGCTTATGATGAAGCAACTTTTTTATCGAAAAACGATAACGCTGTAAGATCATAATTTATTTATTTTTTGGTGGTAAAGACACTAAAAAAGGACTAACTGTAGAGTTATGAGCTACGATTGTTTACAAAGTTATAGAAAAAGTTTTACGTATTCTTGGTATAATCTTTTGCTCTGTAAATATACTTAAAGAACTGAAAAGGTTCATGCTAAAAATATGGAAAGTCAATCGTTCGAGAAGAAAAAAAAAACTAGTTAACTACAATAGTTTTTGAGCTATATTCTGAACACTTTGGAATCGAAATATTGTACACATTGATATCACATCGATGCTTGAGTTCTTTAGTCAACCATCTTCTGTTCCGCATAGGTATCACAACAATAACTTGTGTGTGCCACTATGGCACATACTAAATAACTAGCAACAAAATTAATTTACATAACTCTTGTGTGTAGGCAATAAGCTGGATATTGACACCACGAGTGCAACTAATACATTAATTACAGATACTATTTTGAACAACACCATGCTAAAAGAAAATAAAAAGGCAGTTTAGGTGTTTAGCAATACGAAATAACGCTTTGTTTCCAATTAAGTTAATTGTATGCTAATGAAAAGTGTCTATCATTGTGCAAGCATGCGGCAGGAATTCGAAGTTTTGCAAGAACTCGAAGAAAATACACTGCAGTTTATAGAGAAGTTGTTACTTTAGAAGAGATGTCAATATAAAATTGATACCCATTATCATTGGTCACAAAGAAAATATATTTTTGAAAAGTTAACTTTAAAAAATTATATTACTATGCCTATATACCCCATCCCCCCATCAGGGTGACTTCAGGTTGATTAGGAGGGTCATATGCATCCACCTTATAGTCCAAACTTGGTGCCAATTGAATACTACTTTTTTCTGTCTATGGCGAATGATTTTGCTGGTGAAAAATTTGCTTTGAGAGAAACTTGTTAAATCTAATTCAAATTAGAACAAGTAATTGATCAAAAGGGAAATTTTTGATTTAAATCAGATTATACTAACTACGCTAAATAAAACCTTCAATTTAATGGAAAAATAATGAATTTCTTTTTATCACACCTTATACTCGTACTTCACAGTAACTCTACCGATCCAGCGATCCAATAAGAAACAAGAAAGGATATAGGTATTCTCATAGTTCTCTTTGGGTTGCTTACTATTAGTGCTCACCACAATAGTCATAACACATCTCTACCCGACGACCGAACAAAAGAAAAAGTGAAGGTAAATATGTTGAAGAGAAGAATATATTTCTACTTTTTTCTTAGATTCTGTACTCATCTAAAAATAATGCTGCAGTGTCTCACTATATAAAATCCAATTATAAGAGATTTTAGATTTATAAAATATTATTAAATATATTTTAAATATTAAAAATATTAGCGTAGTTTTTAAGAAATCATCTTCAAAATATCGTAAAATCTATATGAAATGCAAAAAACTCATATTTAATTTTTTCCAGTGTACTCATGTATATGAGTTTATGTACTTAGTATGTGCTATGAGTAAGTACACGTGGATATCTGCTTTTTTATTTACACAAAAGCATAAGTAATGCGTGTATTAAAAGGTATGCAATTAAGTTAAATCAGCTTTTCGGCTTATTCAACGCCAACACCAACAACAGCAACGAACTCACATAAGGTTAACGACGTTGGCCACTGCCAAAGCGAATGCGAATGCATTCGGTTCAAATCCACACAGCAGTGCTCATTACCAATGCAAATTGGAAGTGTAGCAAGAAAACAACAACTACAACAAAATACAAATATGTGTAGCGAAGACGCGAAATGGGTGGAAAATAAAAACTATATATATAGTAAACAATGTGCAAAACTAAGAAGACGGCTGACGATGTAAGCAAAAGAGAAATATCAAAGATCAGCAAGGTAACGGGGGTTGACAGGCGTACTTACATATATATTTGTATGCAAGTAGATATTGTTAACTTGCTGCAACATATGCACAGGGTGACTGTGTGAGGTGAAATCTCATGTTAAATATATATATATATATATATACGCATGCATGTAACTCACATACAAACTCATAAACATATAGACATATGCATACGTACAACGTGGCATGCAACCTTCATGTTGCGCAGACATATCTGTAAGTATGTATTAATTTATTTCCTTAGTAGACATCCTGCTGTTACCACTGTCACACACACACACATATATACGTATACATATATTTGACGCTAGGGTATTATTGGTGTTAGTGCCAAGCTGTGGGCGACTGCTGTCTTCAATGTTGCAAGCATAATCGGAAGTGACTTGTGTGCAGAAATAAATCGTGTTAAAAGGTTAACTTTACAACAAGATGAACAGCAACAACAGCAATAGCAGCACATGTATTGTCGCTTATCCGCAGGGATAAGCAGCGGCAAGAACAAGAGTAGCCGAGTGTTGGCGACTGCTTAGCTGCTACTGCCACATACGAGTACAATTATATATACGCATATAAAGCAAGTATGCTACACAATACAGAGTAAGTTTG